ACCCTACTGTGTTCCTTGATTAAAACCAATTCGTACAAATCAACTCGCTATCTAGTCCTTACACTTGACTGTTCCAAAGCACAAATGACAGAGGCCTCGCTCCCTCGAAAAGCATTGAAGTTCGGTCAAGTTCTCATGAGTTGACCGATACTCGGGGAGCTCTTGTGGGTACTGTCTGCAATTTCTCTCCCGCTTCCGCCGTACGGACTGGATGAACAGCATTGCAACTGGATATGGAAAAGTGTCTCTAGGTGAATCACTCCCGGAAGCGCCAGTGGCTAGATCCCCAGAAAGGGCAGAACCGGTCGCGCAATCCTATCAATCCAGTAGGGCGGTGAGACTGTGTATGTGGTGGGGTTTCTTCTCTCTTCCTTGAAGGGAATTTCTTCTTCTCAGCGCTGTGGTAACCAGCGAACCCTATTGTAATCAACTGCGAAGGGGGATGAAAATCCCTACCATTTGGTCCCAAACCGAGCAATGTTTGCCTACTCCACCACAGCTCAGGGTCACACATTTGGAAAACGACACTGCTCGAGATCCCGAAGCTTAGCTGGGGAATTCCACCACAGTCTTCGTGTAGCCCTGACTTAGCTCTTTCCGACGCCATCTAAACTAATCCCTCAGCGGCCAATCTTCTGGGTAAAAAATGCGATCTTCAGATGGGGCCGGCAAAGCCACAAGCTTTTCATCCCTACGGAATTAATTTGCTTATCTGCATAAGATTCAATAGTTGGGCTGTTCGTCTTTCTACATCGACACTGCGATTCTGAACTGGAAAGACAGAAGAGCGGCCAACTCGAACAACAGAATGTGTTACGCTATGTGACCTTTCTCAGTTTTTTGCCCGGATGTTTCTGTGACCATTTACCAGTTCTCGCCGCGATGTTCCGCTCCTCCCGACTGGATTTGGCATCAAAATTTGTTCCGGGCCGTATACAAGAGACTCCAAGTACACGTCTCTCATTGCGGAACGGCGGTCGGATCGTGTAGATCACAGAAGGAGTGCGCAATGCTGAAGGCGTCCTCAGCATTGGTTGCAATGCGTATAGCGAAAGAATGTGGGTTAGGAAAGCGAGTGATACGAAGGATGCTATACGGTAATGCATGGTCCGCTCCAAAAACTGGTGCAGAACGATTCTGCCAAACCGCACCAAACGCAGCCGCACTACCACGCCCTACCGGTCCGCAATGATGAGGACTATAGCCAATAAAACGTATGGAAGATCTGACAGAGCTACTCGGGTCATTCGTTGAGCGCGAGAAAGAAACTCACGCCATATTGCCATGAGCCGCCATGGAGTGAACAGATTATTCTTCAAAAAATTTTACAGTGGTCTGCGCCAATGGAAGTCCTCTTCGAATCGGAGAGGAGTGGCAACGGTGCGAAACCTCGGCCGAGTGTCCCTCATCCCATTTCTGCAGTACCAGTCACCGTGTGTGCTGCCCCACACCTCGTCAGTTGTTCACTCGTTTTACTAATGGTATCGGCTCTACTAACACCTACCTACTTTCAGAATCTCTGTGCGCTCAACCAAAGCAGTCTGGCGACTGTACATCGACAATTCGACGATACTGGTACAATGCGGTCACTAGACAGTGTGAAGTGTTTCACTATACAGGATGTCATGGGAATGACAACAACTTCCAGTCTCTTGTTGCCTGTCAGCAGCAATGCAAAGGAATCACAGGTATCGACAAATGTCAAGGGAGGGCTCAGTTTAGTATTCCAAGCAATACTGAACTCCAGTCCACACTCGTTCTAATTTCATAATTTTGAAGATTTTGAAAATCCCGATATTGGCTCCTGTTATGGCAGCGTTTTTGCATAAGTTCATCGAAATAGCGATAGGCCTGATGTGAAAAGAAAAAAACATCTCACAACTTCTAAAAATAATCGTGTTATAGCAGAACCAAAGTGCCCACAAGGACGTGCTTATCGGGACCAGCACGGGAAATTCTTGCGGTGTTCGGCTCAGACGAGATGTCCTGCGAACTTTGTCTGCTCATATGACGGTGTCGCGCACGGTTGTTGTCCCACAAAAGGTTAGCTCAAATTTCTTTCCAGCCTGGTAAAGGAAAATATACTCGAAGGAATTCCCACAGCCCTGTGGGATGCTGTAGATCTATGCATATTAGGAGATATACCGTTTACGCTGTATCTTTTATAGCATTCACATGTTCTCTGGCTGCTGACAAAGGAGTGAAATGTGGCCTGGGAAGAACATATCGGTACTTTTTCAATGCAGCCAAGCAGTCCTGCGAGACTTTCCAATACGAAGGGTGCGATGGAAACAGCAACAACTTCCTCAGTGCCCAGCACTGTGAGCAGTACTGTGGAGTAGGAGGTTCGTACTCTTCAGAGCACTTTTCTCTTGAAATCCTCGCAGTTTTTACAGTTTTAACAGTTTTACCAATCCTACCATACATAAACCACTAGGTCCGTCTGCTCGTGTGCGCGGGTGCCTGGGTCCGCGTTTGTATATCGAAATCCGCTGAGATCGCGTAGGCGTGGACTGCGAGCTTCAACTGAACCTGAAGGTAGCTGTGCTTCTGGGGAGATATTTTAATTTTGACCCAACTGTAGTCGTGTCTCTGTTGAACAAAGAACAAGATGGCAGCTGTTCCAGACTGACGTATTTCACGAGTAACCAATTCCGTGCCATGTTCAAATGCCACGCCTACTCTGGCTCAGGGATAAGGAGTATATATGTTTGTGTATTTCTGTCCTGTGGGTGTGTCTGTCTTGTGTGAGTGTTATGTGTGCATGTCCAGCGTGTCTGTCCAGTGTGTTGTCCAATGTGTTTGTCCGCGTGTCTGTCCAGTGTAAATGTGGTGTGTGTGTGTGTGTTATGTGTGTCCAATGTCTGTGTGTCAGTGTGTGTATTTTCTGTGTTCCATCGTGTCTGTTCAGTGTGCGTGTGTCCAGGGTGTCTGTCTAGTGTGGAGTGTTGCTGTGTGTGTTTTGTGTGTCTAGTTCATTTTTTTCGGTTTCGTGTCAGTGTGGTGTGTCCATGTGTCTGTCCATGGTGTGTGTGTGTGTCAATTGTTTGTATCAAGTTCATGTGTGTTTTGGTGCGTCTTTTCCGTGTGTGCAGTGTTTTTGTGTGGCGTGAGATTCTAGGCTTATTGTCACCCACAGAGTTCAGACTAATTACAAGTTGATAGAGTGGATCATATGTCAGTGAGATCCCTGCTTTCACTGATATATGACCCACGCTATGAACTTGGCGGTTTCCTTACTAACGTCCTAAAGGTCTCGTCAGTCTTTATCGCCTAATACCTGCAATAGAAGTTCTCATCAGCATGCTTCCTTTATCTAGTGACTAGTTTGAACTGCTGGTGGGTGAATAGTTCACTAACTCAGGGTCACAGCGACGCGGATTTGCTGCTTAAAGATCGATGTCCAGAGGCAGGACGGGTACTTTGTTAAAACCTAATGATTCGCTGAAAGACGAATTGGTGTGTCACTCAATCAAAAGGAGCAAATCCGCGTTTTCGAAGTGTGGGTAGGCGACAAGGTACGCGCTGAAAACAGTGACACAAACGATATGATGCAGTCCTAACACATGTACACTGCAACAGGTGCTTGCTGCTTGCTTCAACCGCAACCCATTTGGCACCGCGTGAAACTCATCCCGCCCTGACACGCCCTTTTTCGTCTGCGGCGCGAAATAAACTAATGTGTAGACCGGCACTATTTCCGATAGGGACTGTCCTGATAAAATGAGTGAGGTCCATGAGATGATCTAGGATGGGATAAAGCTCACATACATATCCCAGGAACAGAAGCAGATATTCAGCTGTGAGATAAGACATGTTAATTAAAGGATCGTCCAAACGCGGCTATTCCTCCCCTCCAAGAAGCAGAAATCGATTCGGTACCATTGGTTTGCACAGGATCGAAAGACTGTCCATCCACTCACGAGTGCATCGCAGTTCCATCAAAAGGCAATGTAGCCTATCGGTGTTGTCCAACCAAAGGTTCGTTTACTTGATTCCCATGCAAAATAGAACATTGGGCGATATGCTGATCGCTTCAATCGCGTCTAAAGCAATGCTTGGTTTTGATAGAAAAAGCGAGTTAAACAGTGCGCTCCGAAAGAGCGAACAGATTGTTGCGTGAAGAGTTTGTAGTGACGAGGTCGTTGTTATGAGAGAATCATTGTTATGAGGAGGAATCAGAGTCAGGGCTCCTGGCTTTAGAAAGAATTTTCGCTGAATACGGCCCTCCTTCCACAACCGACCGACCATAATACTGACTTTTCTCAAAGTTTTGCCGTTTAAACTAGTGCTGAAGAATCAACCTCGATCCCATGACAGTATAGCTCGGTAAGCGCGCCTCAAACCAGGACGGTAAGCTAGAGCGAGGTGAAACGCGAATCAGCAAACGGGAAATCTGTACAATATTCTTCTGAGGCACTACGATTTTTCCTAGGGAATTCGACCCTCGTTAAGGACTTTCTCCAACGTACAACGCGGGCACCTCAGTGGGAGCTCGCTCTTACGTTGTCGATTTCTTTATATGAATGCAGCCATAGAGTCATGAAATAAAGTCTCAAAAGATAGAGGATGCCCATAAGAATTCATTTTGGCTTATTGACTGCAAAAAGAAGCGGCCGGTTCCAGTGACTTCGCTACTTATGTCTTATAAAACTTGTGACGAGAAGAATTCATACGCGGCTAGCGCATTCTTTTTGGTATGCGCCATGCACTCTTCCTTCAGTCAAAATGCGTGTGTTGTATTAAGGAATATGGGCCCGTGTGATGAAATGGGACGTGAGCAGCCCTATGTACTAGTCAGTGATTTTAAGTCTCTCGATGGATCCGGTAACCAGCCTACCTGCTCCTGAGTTGGATGGGGTAACTTACCTGCCCTAGAGTGGGAGAGGGTAACTTACCTGCTCCTGAGTGGGACGAATGGTATTTTTAGCCCAGGTACCAGACAATTCATGATTCAATCCCTCGAGGCGCATGGTGAGCGGCGCCACTTTGCACTCTGCTCAAACTGCATATAAAAGGATAAAGGATAAAGTCGCCCGTCTTCGCCGTTAATCAATCCCTCTGTGGGATGCGGCACGCATTCTACTTCCATTCAGAATCGTAGTGGCTTATTGAATGCGATGTGGCCTATACAATGACTTGCCAGCCGATGTACAAGTCAGTGTTTTATCCTCCCAGACGAATCTGGTACCAATTTACCGTCCCCGGAGGGTAGAAGGCTTGGTTGGCCTGGGCGGGTGTCGACCTGGGATTCGAACCCAGGACCGCGCCACTTGTCACTACACCACCTCCGCCAAACTGCATATATCATGCGAATATATGCGGATATACTCGATGATGTTCAGATATATTAAACTCTTCCCGGTGCACTCTCGAGTGTATCTCAGCGAATATACCGTACACGAAGACTCAACTAACCTCGGTTTCAGTGCACATCTGCAGTCAACCTCCATTAGCAGGCAGTCAGTGCTCGACTTTTACCACTTCCCGTTACTACTTCAACTTAGTCACCAGGCAGTGCACATCCTTCCATTTCAACGGTTGCAGCGGCAATCTGAACAACTTTGCAACTAAAGAGCTGTGCGACAACTTCTGCTCTAGTGCAGGTACGCTCTGCTCTTCTCTTTCTTTGGCAGTCATACTGCATTTTTCAGGATGCGAGCTTGGAGAGATTGTGTTGAAAGATCCGGGAACATTGCAGCCTCTTCGCTGCAATAGCGATCTCAGAAACAGTTGTCCTGCTAATTACCGGTGCCGATTTAGTAGCCTGCTAACATACTCTGTATGTTGCGGTTCTTCTGCTAACGGTGAGTACTAAGCAGTATCAACATGAAGTGAGCTCCAACTTTTCAATGTAGAACCTAATCGAACGAGAAAGGAAGAACAGATTTACCTCCGATCCGAATCAACGGTCACAAACCTTTAGCTTTACCCAACAAGTTTTGGAAGTATTAACACTCATCTTTCATACAAGCGGTTTCAAAGCTTCCCATAGTTCGCTTAGCCAGATTTCAATGATTGCTCGTAACGAGTCGGCTTTCTAGGCAATAGAAGGACTTGCAACGGTAGGCCCGACTCCGCCCACACGGCCAGATAGTAATGTGCCCACCATCTAGAATGATGCTTTCAGTACTCCGACTTTTCTATCTCGATGCGCGAAAGTCTCTGCAGGGATGTTTCTGTAGAAAAAAAATTGGAGCTCAGGGTAGGACACGTGAGAACCTCATCGTGACACTTTTCGGAACATTAGAACATTTGATGAGTGCTTTGGGCTACACTATGGTCCCAAAGCACTCATCGAATGAACCAAAAACTTTCCAAGTCGTCAATTCCTCCTATAGATGAAGGCCTCCTCAACTCGTGTTGCTGCTTATACAGTCACTATACCTGCAAACGAAAAAGTGTGATTTAGGGCGCGGAATTTTCCACCAATGATGTCATCTTGAACATGCAACAATTGGTAGGAAAAGCTTTCCCGGCTCCTCTCGCTGTGTTTGCCGAAGTCATTGCTAATGGGTGCATATTCCTCGCTAAGGAGGGAATCAGGCGTACCATTGTGCTTTCATCCTGAGCGCACCCCTTCATATCGTCTTTTGGGTAGCACGGAGAGACGCATAAAAGAAAAAACACTTCAGCTTACTATGATTCTCCCCGAATAACCAACGTGCTTCTCAAGAGAACCTTAACGAGCTTCAGTGTGCCACAGGGCCACAGTGTGATACCACGAGAATTTTCACAGCTTTGCGTCTTCTATGTCGATTCCTTCAGAAATGTGGAAGTCTTGATACGTAGGCAAAGAACTGAGTGGTACGGGAAAACTTTGAAGTAAGTAAGCTTGTTCGGTGACGTCATGGCTAGTTCTTCATGTTGAAATAGAGGAGCCCTACAGTGAATGCATCTTCAATTTGTTTCTCATGGATCATCTCAATGTGAACAAAGATTGCCTTCTGGATATTTCAGTGGGTGTGACGCTGAAAAACGAGTGAGCTGGAACATCAGGCTATGACCGTTGTCGGCATCTTTGCGCGCAGTTCCAATTGGCAGTGCTCACAGACTTTTCGGCTGGCGGAATGCCGAGCAAGAGTTTAGTGGCAGGTTTGTTCTCGGCGGCGGCGCCAACTTTTTTCACCAGGTTGTGGTTGATCTGCCAAGCTCCCACAGTTGCTGAGTATGGGCTGGCTCTGCGCCAAATGAGCCCCTGAAACGCCAGCATGCAGCACCAGCGAAGCAAGACTGCAGATACTGTTCGCGACTCTGCGGAGGTTTGGTAAAATAGTAACATACTGACATGCTCTTTCAGGTTTTTGTCCTGCAGACGAACGTCCATATATGGTATCCGTTGACGAGACCGTTAAGGAGTGCTCAATGAATATTCCCGGCAGTTGCCCTACGCAATTCCTTTGTCGGTTCAATCTCCAAAGGAACAAATACTATTGTTGTGCTCCTAATCCGGAGAGTGAGTTCACTCATCTCAGGGCTATTTAAGAAAGGGAACTGTCCAAGTTTTCCGCACTTTCAGTGCTATGTGAGAGCTTAAGCAGCGTTCATACTTCGCGACGGCAGCGCGTTCGACGCGATCGATGCAGTTGAAAGCATGCGCATCGATCGCGCCGAACGCGCGACCGAGGCGCTGCCGTCGCGAAGTCTGAACGCTGCCTTATTCAACAAATTTGTTCATTGTTGAGGTATTGAAGGGGTGCAAAATGTAGCTTCGAATATTATCTTCTACATTAGCTATTTTTCTGAGGCTCATTACAACTATCTCATGGTATTGGTCATTCCTCATTGTGCTGTCCTTCAAAGCTGTTTTCAGTGTTGGAGAAACGGTTCACCTATGAGAAGAGCCGATAGTCGGAGCGACTCCACCCATGGGGTCAAGTTGAAATGTGTCCTCAAAGACAAACTGCGCACTCATCTCCGTGGGTTCTGGTCTTGCCGCGTGCGAGGTCAATGGGTCCGCTGCTGCAGTAGCGGTCATTTTCTCTGGTCACAAGCGCACAGGAACAAGCTCTAGAAGCGATACCCGGGTGCAGTTTCCATACTCCACCCGCGCTCCCTCACTCCAAACCATAGCCAGACTCACTAATTGTCTGTCGCTTCTGCTGATCTCTACCGCGGAGTGCGCGTTTCGCTGCGATATCTTGGTGTCGATCTAAGTGCTGCACCTCCAGGACAGCGCGGGCGTATTCGGGAGACGGCATTCCCTCCAGCTACCCTCCAGCTCCGTTCCCGTGCAATTTCGAGCGGAGAAAATGGCACGCTACTGGAGTTGCGGACTCGATCACCCCACACATCGCAAAGAACCGTCCCATGAGG